ACCATAATTGCTCTTTTCCTTGCTTTATGTAGCTTGCGCATAATACAGCACCTGTCTGAATGATCTTTTGAAAGACTCTTTTTTTTTTTTTTTGGAAGACAAACTTGAACCATCTATAAATTGGTTTGTTTCATAAATACCACATCCAAAAAAAGCTGGATCCAAATAGTGAGAAGACGGATACTGCCTTCCCAGTAACATAACAGCCATTATATATCTGATGGGAGAGTCCTATGCATCAGTGAAGGAACAGAAGCCCTGTTTGTAGGCCATTTTGAAGTTTATAAAGGCTCTCTTGTCTCGCACAGCATACAGCTGATTGAGGTCCCTTTGTATATAGAAGTACCGAGTAAAACCGTGGCGAGCTCTTTGCCAGAGAGCTGAACTCTGGCTCACCACCCTGTCCACATTCAGGGACTTCCTGCCTTCTGTCCCTCTGGCAGTCCGGGAAAAGTTGCCCCTTCCTCAGCCTTGGCCAAAGCATAAACGGAGCTTTGCATAAAATCTGCCTTCGCAAACAGGCAGTGTGCTGCCGCAGAAGCCGTGGCCCGTGGAACAAGGGAAGATTATCTATAATTCTTTGTCGATGCACTGTTTACGAGAAGACGTGGTGGCCTGCTTTCCATCTTCTCCGAACATAGCTTAAGTATAGTTATGCAGTTCAAGTCATGCGTGCAGGGGAATGATAGGCAGGGTGAGGAATCTCCAAGCCTTTAAGTGTGCGTAAGGCCCTCTCTTTTTATGCCTGCTAGTGAGGTTAGCCCAGGTGCTGCACTCCATGCTTGTACTATATGTACAAGCAGCATCTTTTCTAAAAATTGTCATGAGGAGAAAATACTTGCTATGTTTTCTCCTCCTGCCGTCATATTACCCCTCGAGTCCAGACACTGGTGCATTTCCTAATACAGTCTGTATTTCTATCTGACAGAGACACTGAAATCCTAAGTTCTACCCGTTGACTAATGTAAGCCTGTTCTGTTACTTGACCCTGTAAAGTGATGAGTGTTTCATAAATCTCTTGGAAAACAAAAGCCTAACCTAATAGATTTCATTAGTGCAGAAATCTATTACTAATTGTAATTTCACACTGTAACTCCGTGATTGTCATTTCTTCCTGTTACTGTGTTTCAAAGGAAATGAGCCCTACTGCTTAGTTATTCAGTAACAAAAGTATCCAGGTTCTGAATTGAAAGCTTTTGTGTGTGTGTTAGAAGGGGTTAGCAGCATGGGGGATAGAAATGATGCTGTTTCCTGAGGGGGGAAAAAAATCAGCAGTTTATGATATGCAAAAGCATTCTTCACAATATGAAAGGTTTTATGTAATTTTTTTTTCTTACCTCTCTCTTCCCCTTGCCTGTGTACCTAAGATATATGTGTCCAAGGTAAAAGGAAGAGCAAGTTATGACAGGTATGGAACTTTTCCAGGCATCTGGGTTTATTTACATAGTACATCAGTGCATCCACTTCAGTGGATGCTGGTCGTAAGCTCGGTCCTCCTGGACACAAAGGTGTATTTTGTTTTTTGTTTTCCTTATTTTACAGCAAGGCTATTAAAGCGCAATAAAATCACAAGTAGAGACAAGAGATTTATGATGTTTGCTACAAGGTAGGTAGACAAGGTCTGTGTTATATTTTCCACTGTCCTGCAGTTGACCTTGCTCTGTGTATCTTACGGTTAAAATGCAGTACTTTCCTCCATGATATTTTTATAGTGAAACAGCTAACATTTCTTAATTATGATAAAGTATACCATTTACTAGTGTATGTTTAGCCTCCATAACTGAAAGGAATAACTATGAAAGGACTCGAGTCTCCAGTTGGGACTCTACCAACATGAATTTAATTAGGTCCTTGCAGAAACTTTGCAGAAAAGAAAGCCATTGCAGAACTCAACAAAGCATTGTTAAGAACTTTAGGAACCAAATTCTTGACAAATGTAAATACTGAAGTCAATGCAGTATGTCACGAACTGTATCACTCCTTTTCTTATCTTCCCTGCATTACTTGTTTTGACACGTTCATCTCAGTAAAACTAATCTTTACGGAAATCTTTTGATGCACAAAGTTTGCAGGTGACTTGATGTATTTTCAGCAGTCTGTGTGGTTGCAGACTGACAGTAATTTTCAAAGACCATTTGCACTTTGCACCACTGATTATAGAGTCCTTAACATACCATTCAAATACAAACCCAGGAACTTTGTATCTTATCTGTCCTGCAGGGGAAATCATGCTCACTGCTTTGGAAAAACTTTTTTTTTTTCT